TGCAATTCTGCTTTTGGTTCGAGGTCACGACTATCTGGTCTCATGTGTATGATGCTGCTTGGTTTCTGAAGTTCGCTATCGCTCATTTTCCTTGCAATTTGGTACCAGAGGTGTGGTACGTTGCGCTCATCTGGCGCTTGTCTTCTGTCTATGCGGTACATGCATGCGGTCTGCTAGGCGAGCGGCCGTAGTGTGTGTGTAGTGAGGAGGGCGAAGGCAAGCAGGTGACCCAGGAGGTGAGGGGTCTCGCCAGGAAGGCTACGTGGTGAAAGTTGGGTGTTCGCAGTGTGATGAGGACTAGCTGATGTTCGATTGATGCTGAGGTGGAACGGCGGTATAATGCTGGTTGTGCCGAAGCAGCGATTGGTCATCACAGACGGAATCAGGTCATCTGGTGAGAATATATGTGGTTGGGGGCAGCTATTTTGAGGTGCGTTGCACCAACCTTATCTACCCTCTTCGACACTTCTTACCGTGAGGATGTGTGTTCTGTCTTGAGAGTCCTCTCATGTGAGGAGTCGAGTGCGCTCAACCTTGAGAGTCGGCATTTTTAACGTGGAGCATCTGGAAGGAGAGGGTGGAGCTATCTGAAGGGCCCTGGACGAAGCACTGGGTCACGGTCACCATGCCAACCCACCGGGAGTAGAGCACGCATGCTTTGCTGCTTTGTCCTTTGTCTGCTTGCTGCGTTGATAGATGGGTTATGAGGAGCAGGCCAGCCCTACAAGGGAGACGAGAACCGGGCGTCTATAAATAAGCACCGGCGGGGTACCTTCCATTGGCTGTGATCGTCGTCCTGTCTGCGACGTTAAAGAATTCCTGAGGACTGCGGGGCCGTCCTTAAACGCCTCCTGATCAGCCAATTGGTCGGTGTAAGGCTCGCTGCACGCGAGGATAAACAATGTGCAGGGCTGGCCAGCTCAGCATACACTCGGGACACAGGGGCGGGTCGTGTGCACACCTTTAGACACACACGCTGTTCTGAATTGCTCAGGGACGCTGGCGTGAAGTGACCATCAAGAGGAATTGAGGGAGGGGTAGATTCCAGGTGATAAGTTAGTGTTTAATTCCACTCTGCAAATATCCACACAGATAATTTTATTTTTATTCTTGAATAGTTAGATGGATTGTTATTGATATCTGACAGACATCAATAGTTAGATCTACTCTCTGTTTGTGGACTCATTAAGTAAAAGTATTTTCATCCGGACTTACCTGTTGGACCCGAGTTTCATCCGGACTTACCTGTTGGACCCGAATGCGTAGACTCTGAAATAGCCACCGGTTAATTTTTAAATTGGTTTGTGCATGACGCTGCGGAAGGCATCGAGTGAGTGACCTAGTGCAATCGGTGTGCAGTTTTGTAGCTTATGAGCGATAGGGAGGACACTAGAGAGGATGATAGGATCTTGCGATCAGCAAGGCGCCCGATAGCCCATTTGGCATCAGGACCAGAGGGCGACAGGTACTTGTTCCGCGAGCAGAGGGAGAGGCTGCAGCAGCAGCGGAGAGCTAGGGCCGCAAAGGCAAGCAGGGCATTCGCAAGCGAAGCAGCTACCTTAGCAGCCATGGCCACTGCCGCACAGCAGAGCTCTCAGGCTAGTAGTTCAGGGACTGTAGGGTCAACGGTCGCACAGACCCTGAGTCAGTCCACTGGCGTCATGGCAAGCCAACCGTTAGTTCTGACTCCCGAAGAGATCGCCGTACGACAAGCATATGCTCAAGAGGCACAACTACAAAAGGCTTTAGGGGAGATAAAGGCAGAAAAAGAGAGAATGAGTAGGAGAAGAGCAAGGATGCAGCAGAGACAAGCGGACATTAGTGAGTTAGGGGAGATGGACCTGACGAATGTGAATGATGATGTGAGGACCCTGAGGACGGTCTTGCTAGATGTGGTAGAAATGCAGGATCACCAAATGGCGCTCTTACAGGACATCCAGCAGAGCCTGGCCGTGCTGGTTGGGCGAGCTCAGGCGACACCATCACCATCAGGGCCCGGTGCTTGGCCCGTGGTACAACCTCCTCCTTTTGTCCCACCGGTCACTGGGGTATCCCCATACATAGCTCCAGCATCGGTACAGGCCGCTTCGCTAGGAATGCCTTTAACAAGAGGGTTCTCATCAGGTCCTAGTGTACAGATTCCTGTACAGCCAGTGTATTCCCAACCTCCGTTGCAGGTTGCCGTAATTGGGCAGTCTTCTGTCTCGCAGTCGGCACAGCCGCAGGGCACACAACCCCAACAACAGCTAGTGCTGCAACCTGCACCCCAGGGTCCACAGCCCGGAGTGGCACAGGTACCGGGACAAGGCTAGTGGGTTCCAAAGACGGCCATCGCCTCGCCTAAACCCTCTTCAGGGGATAAGAGGGGCGAAGACCTTGACACCTGGTTGAGGCCAGTGCCAGTCTACGTTAAGTGCAAATTGACCTTGCCGCACGAGGAAATGCTTGTGGCTGCCTCCTATCTTGAGGGGAGTGCAGCGAGATGGTTAAGCAGGTTAGTGCAACTTCAAGGGTACGGTCATGACTTCGCGCTTGGGCAGTCAATTAGAAACCGGAGGACTTCATTAAGCTGGTGGAGGAAAGGCGGCATGATCCTCAGGAGGCCCAAAAGGCCATTGGCGCGATCTTGACTCTGAGCAATAGACCGTTCAAGTCAGTTAAGGATGCCACAAACGCGGTAGAGCGTCTGATCTGTGTTCCTGGAGTTCGTTACGACCCCCAAGTCTTACTCACTACTTATCTGAGGTGTCTTCCCATGCCCCTCAGAAAACAGTTGGCGGGTGAGGCAAACATCAATGTGCACAACTTTCCTTCTTTTAGCAAGAAGGCCCTAGACCTAGAGGCAAAGATAGGGCATGGGCACCAACCCACGACGGATGGAAGGAAGAAGTCACTTCGTCCCAATTGGAAGGCGAAGGGGGGTATTATGTTCGTCGACAATGATGGCTCAACCATTGAGTTGGACGACGACTTTTAAGGAGTAGGTTCAGAGGCGGGCAGCGTAGAAGCTTCAGGGGGTGGAGTAGTCGCTGTCTCAGTTGAAGAAGGCAAGGCGACCGGTTGACGTCGTGGAGGCCCCTGGTCTAGGAGTCAAGTAGACCCTAATGCTCCTCCCTGGGAGAAAGCAGGTCTCACCGAGGACGTGTGGAGAGATCGGTACACTCGGTAGGCTTGTATCCATTGTGGCCAATATGGCCATAATCAGTTCAAGTGCCGTAACAAAAAGGTGACAAAAAAGATCCCGCCTACAATGGGGCAGGTGATGGGATCCTCCACTTCAGTGGGTAGCAATGTTGCCAATAGTTCTGGAACTGCTCCGGGAAACACGTCGGGCCAGTAGGAATGGTAGTTGTTCCTGCTAGGGTCGAGGTGGTGGACACACCCTCACCATCTCGAGAGATGGCCCAAGCTACTGACTCCGTTGTCGTTCCGCAAACATATTCGGACCCATCGAGCCTCTATTCGATGAATGTGTTAGAGTCCTCAGAGGAGCTAGGGGAGGAGTGGTCCAAATCAGACCCGCTAGCTTCTTGGACGGCGTTGGCAAAAGTTCCTAGGAGTGAGATGTTCGTCGGCGAGGTAGTCATCGGCGGCCGTAAGGCCGAGGCCTATTATGACACTTGCTCGACGCGGAATTTTATCAATCGCACATGCGTTGAGAGGCTGCGCTTAAAGGGGCAAGTGCAGCGCCTCGGTCGACTTGTGGAGTCGACCTGTGCCAACAAACAGCGCATGGTAGTTAATGACTACCTTAAAGACATTGAGTATTGTTTCCCGTACGCGGGAGGGGAACTGAGGCATTGCGTCTCGTTCCTAGTCAGCGATGATCTCCCAATGGACATCCTTTTGCGTATGTACTATCTTTCGGTTGCACAGCCCCACAGTTTGACTGGGACGGAAAAGTGGTCAAACACTCTTTGCCCGGCGGGGGGACCGCCAGATTATGTAAGTTTAAGGTTAGTAGTCTGATCGAGTCCTACGAGTGCATGTGTGGGGCCGTGTTCTACAATTATTATAAGCAAAATCCGGAGGAGGGTATGTATCTAGTTTATGTCTCTGCAGCAGGCGAGCCGGTGAAAATGCCATCGGAGATAGAGGGAGTAGTCGCTAAGTACCCTAATCTATTTGAAGAGCCAAAAGGGGTTGTTGAGAGGGAGGTCGTCCACGCGATAGAGATTATCCCAGGGTCTAGTATTCCGAAGGGTAGGATCTATCGGATGTCTCCAGCCAAGCTCGATGAGCTTTGCCGACGACTCAAGGAACTCGTAGAGAAGGGTTGGATCCGGCCGAGTGTTTCTCCTTATGGATCTCCAGTCCTATTCGTACCAAAGAAGGGGGGCACTCTGAGGATGTGCATTGACTATAGGGGCCTCAATGCCATCACTGTCAAGAATAGAGAGCCCCTACCGCGCGCATCGATGACTTGTTGGACCGAGTGCAGGGGTGTCGGTACTTCAGTAAGATAGATCTGAAGTTCGGGTACCATCAGATTGCCATACGGCCCGAGGATCAACACAAAACCACTTCTCAGACCAGGTACGGTCTGTACGAGTTTGTGGTGATGCCTTTCATTCTTTGCAATGCTCCTGGCACCTTTCAGCACATCATGAATATGATCTTTCATAACTATTTGGACAAGTTTGTCATTGTGTACCTCGATGGCATACTTATCTTTCGTAGGACTGTCGAGGAGCACGTTGGTCACTTAGACAAAGTCCTTAGTCTCCTTCGACAGCACCAGTTTAAGATCAACCGGGAAAAATGCGAGTTTGGCCGCACCCGTATTTTGTACTTGGGTCATGAGATTTCCACAGAGGGATTGAAGCCCGGTGACGCGAAGGTGGCCAGCATGCGTGACTGACCGAGTCCTCAGCTTGTGACTGGGATGGGGTCCTTCTTAGGGATAACCGGCTACTACTGCAATTTTTTCAAGAACTATAGCATAGTGGCCGCCCCTTTGACGAACCTGACTCGCCTTGACAACCCATGGGAGTGGACAGAGGTGTGAGGCTGCCTCCAAACATTTGAAGCATGCGCTGACGCACCATGAGGTCTTGAAGCTTCCTGATCCTGACAAGCCATTTATAATAACCACGGATGCTAGCCAATATGTCATAGGCGTCGTGATCGCGCAGCAGGAGGGGCCAAAGTTGACCCCTGTCGAGTACATGCCCAAAAAGATGCCCTCTCAGAAGTTGGCCAAGTCCACCTATGAGAAGGAGCTCTATGCGATCTATAAGGCGCTAACCCACTGGAGGTACTACCTCCTTGGGAGGTTCTTCTACGTCAGGACTGATCACCAGACACTGAAGTGGATGAGAACCCAGCCAGTGCTCTCTGACACATTGAAAAGATGGATCGAAGTCATTGAACAGTATGACTTCGAGCCTCAGTACATCAAAGGAGAGTACAACAAAGTTGCTGATGCGCTGTCGCGTAGGCCAGACTTCCTCGGTGTGCTGTCAACTGAGTTTGGGTTTGGGGACAATGTCACTCGTTCTTTGGTGGAAACCTATCGTGAGGATCTGTTTATGGTTGAGATCATACGTAGACTCGAGGCGAAGGACAAAGCGACTTCCACTGACTTTGAGTTGGTCAACGACCTGCTGTTCCTTGAGAAGGCCGGGAATAAACGTTTGTGTGTGCCTAATCGGGAGTCTTTGCGTAGTTTGTTTTTAGGTGAGTGTCACGATGTCACAGGACAGTTTGACTATAAAAAGACTGCAACCAACTTGCTGCAGCAGTTCTGGTGGCCCACAATGATGAGAGACGCCAAGCTGTACGTGGAGACTTGTCAAGTCTGTCAGAGAGACAAGCCACGTACACAGGCCCCTCTTGGGCTTCTCAAGCCCCTTTCGATACCGGAAAGGCCGGGTGAGAGCCTGTCCATGGACTTCATGGACACGCTGGTCACCAGCAAGAGTGGAATTCGATATGTCTATGTTATTGTGGATAGGTTTAGTAAGTACGCTAGGTTAGTCGCAATGCCTGCAACAGCCAAGACTGAGTACGTAATCAAGCTGTTCAAGGAAAACTGGGTCAGAGATTTGGGATTGCCAAAGTCTATCGCGAGTGACCAGGACGTGCGATTTACTAGTGAACTGTGGAAGGCTGCAGCTGCAGAACAGGGTACACCGCTGCAGATGACCTCCGGGAACCACCCAGAGGCAAGCGGACAAGGAGAGCAGCTGAATCGCGCTGTACAACACCTGTTGAGGCACTACATTAAGCCCAACCAGGTGGACTGGGATGAGAAACTGGCTCTCATCGCCAGCCTGTACAACAATGCTGTGCGCAGCGCAACATGGGTGAGTCCAAACAGCCCGCTACTTACATTCAGGCGTAGACTGCCTCTAGACTTCCTACTACCTGAGAGTCAGCCGACAGCTGCACCTGGTACAGTAGAATTTGCTTATCGATATGAACAGTTGATGCAGCAAGCTGTATAACAGATGCACAGGGCACAGGCTGCGATGATAGAGTCTGAGAACAAGCACCGCCGCCAATCTACATTCCAGGTAGGGGACAGAGTCTGGGTCAAGTCCTCAGAAGTGGGACAAGAGCACGGGATATCCCGTAAGCTTATGCCACAGTACTTTGGACCCTGCAAGGTTCTGGATATTGTGGGGAATGATCCGGACGGGCCGTCATTTGTAGTTCAGATCCCTGGTCACCTTCACACTTACCCTGTCTTCCACGCCTCCAAGCTTGCACCTTTCGATGAAACTGATCAGTTTCCCTCACGATGCTCAATGCTGGCCCCAACCATGGATGGAGAGGTCGACATCGATGACATCGTGGACCACAGGAAATGCCAGTTCCGAGGCGTTCAGGTAGAGGACGTCCTCCGAAGCCGAAGCTGCAGTACCGCGTTCGGTTCAGACATCATACTGATCCAAAGGAGGATAGATGGTTTACTCGGGAGGAACTGATGCAGACCGCCCCACAGGTTGTCGCCCACTACGAGAAGTTGCTGCAGAAAGGAAAGCGCCAGATTGACTAATGGAACTTCTCAGAGGACTGCCGAAGTATGGAGGAGGGAATGCGAGGCTCAAGGCCTTGATAAGCCCTACTGGGCCCTCTTTTCAGTACAGTCGGCCGCCCTAAGTGAAGGCAGGCCCGGCCACGGTCTATTTTGGGGTTTCCACGCTACTAGGGAAATTCAGGCAGTTGTGCAGCGCCAGTTGGTTGAAAGCGCCCAGGCCCTGGCTACTTTTATCAAATGCATGTGAGTCAGGCCCTGGGCGAGATACGCAACAAGGACCCAACACAGGCTGCAGGAAGTTGGGCACGGGTAACTGTCACAGGCCCTGGGGCTGATTCGTCCAGTCTGGGGCTCAGCCTTCCGGGGCCTACCCGAAGCTTCTGGGCCGAGGCCCGGTGCATCCAGAACGCACGCAGCAGGCAGGCCACTTCCATTTAGGAAAGTGCCTGCCCCCGCATTCTTCATTCGGGCACTGGCTGCATGCTGCACAAGCACTGCTGCGCTGTACGCTGGCCAACGCTTACGCGCTCACGGGCGAGCTGGATGAGCAGGCAGCCATAGCCGAGCTGCACTGCTGTATGCTGGATGGGGCGCATGGTGGTCCTTGGGTGCAACTGGCATCTGTGAGGAGGAGGGGGATCAGAAGAGCTGCTTCAATTGCATTGTTGATTGTTGATCTAACTGCAAGGAAAATGAGTGGAGGATCCCCCATTGTAGGTGGTCCTTGGGTGCAAGTGGCACCTGTGAGGTGAGTGGCATCTGTAAGTTTCCTAAAAAGACAAGCCAGTCGTCCTCTAAAGGGTCAGTAGGTCGTGGCTATACAAGTGCTCAAAGAGTCAACTTGACCTTTCACAGTCAGAAGAGGCAGTCCGTCGATTTCTGAAAGGTCAAGAGTCCCAAGTCAACTCTGAAAGGGCACATGTAAAGGCAGTCCCAGTCCAGGCCATTTGGCAGCAAGTACCAGAATGGGACTGCACATCCTGAGGGCCTGGGACATCGGGCAGGCCCAGACCACCAAACAAAACTATATAAATAAAGAGGCAGCGATCAGTCATTCACTCATTATCTGGGGAACTACGCAGAAGCGCTGCTCGAGTGACTTGTGCGTTGGGTCCAGAGGTGGTCAGCAAGAAGCCCGAATGTGGAAGAGGGGGAGTGGCCATAGCCGCTAGGAGGAAGGAAGACGACGACGGCCATAGCAGCCAATGTGTAGAGGATAGAAGATAGTGTGTGGGTGTGAGTGCAGACATTCAAAGTAGATCCAAGTGTTGTCTGTGCACGTGTGTGTGAGTGTGTCTGACGGTGGATACGGTGTTTGGGTGGAAATTCCCGAGTGGCGCTCAGACGCCATAGCCACAAGATGTAACAAGTTGGTTTGGGTTGAGTTTCTGGCCGAAGCCATATCTCTGAGTTCTGTGTGGGCGGACTGCGCCATCTCAAGTGTGTTGCCGATTCTGCCTTACGGAAGTTTCTGTTGCCATCGCCAGCTGCATGTATGCATGTTTGAAGACAAAAAAAAAAA